ATGGCTAGTCTCGCGAGCGCCAACAACGAGCGGGCTTCAGCGTAAGTCCAAGCTTTCATTGTTTTTGGTGCAAAATCTGGACGATGCTCGATCATATATTCACATTGGACTGCGCTCGACTTCACGACCAGCCAAAACTCGAGGCTGCGATTGAAACCCACCTTGAGCATTGAAGTCTCTCACAAGTCCTCGGTTGGGGGGCAACTTTGCACCTTGGTCCCCCACATCAAGCTTTGAAGACGGCAGGGAAGGTTCAGGGGCCCCCCCAGACAGATCGAGCAAAAGAACCCTCATGGATCGTTGAAGCTGTTAATCTTGGGGCGGCATGAGCACAGGTGATTCCGCTTGCAAAAGAAAACGCTTTGGGGGGGGACACCCTTCGGAGGAAAGGCGCGCGAACAAACCAACTCTTAAGACCCATGTCAGACAACGGAGTTAGCTGTCGCAAAACTCTGCTGGGAGCACCACAAAAGAAGGTCAGCCTCTGACCACCCAAGTGGAGTGTGAGAAACAAACCATCTCACCACAATGGAGCGCTCGTTTTGTTCACTGGTGTTTTCAGAAAGGAACCCCAGAGGTGCAAATCGGAGCGCGCAAACCACATCGGCGCTAAAGGCCCAAAAATGATTGCACACTGCTTTCTTGCGCTTGAATCAGGCATTCTTTTGCGTGGTCAAGTTCTTTTGTGCGGTTAATGGCCCCTTTGGTTTGGAGGGTCTTCCCTTTCGTAGAAGGGAGCACGACAGCAGGAAGGTAAATTCGGGAATTGACAAAACCTTGGCAACGGTTTCGGCGTCAGCAATTAAGTTTTCTGTTTTCGCCGCCGCTTGGAATGCGCCTTTGGCACCCAGCTTCCAAATTACCCCTTCATGGTTTCGGAGGCCTATCGCCAACACTTGGAAGGGATGGCTCAACATCTGTTGGAGAACCCTTCCTAGGGTTGATGGCCTTAGCCCAGCCAGGAAGTTTTTGCAACAACAACTTAAGCTCTGACATCATCATCCGTGGGCTTTACACCTCTGCGCTTTTACCGTTCCTTTTTTTACGCCTACAGTTCGACGGTGAGTGAGTAGGCGTTTTGCTTTCTTTTCTTTCTCTTGCAAAAACTGAAACTGAGCCAAGTTGCTGAACCTAAGCCATGAAATTCTCCGACGAGAGCGCATTGCTGGTAAACATGGACCAAGCAACAGAAACCATGAGCCGCCCGTTCTTCATATTTGGGGCCCTGGAAGCCGTGCTGATCGATCTCTTTTGTCAAGGGAGAGCCCGGGCGGAGAGGAAGTTTGCCCCTTTGCAAGATCGAATCGCTCTTTCTTCCGGCGTCATCCTTCGTTCTGAGATTGTCCCACATTGCGCCTCAGTTGCTCTACCAACCACTGGACTCCTCCCAAACAAGAAGTCCATCCAGCCTGGCCTCGTAAACGGGCTGTTCCTGTGAGTATTGCTTGTAAAGGAAGGCCGTCCTTCGCGCGCTCGACTTGAAGCATGCCTCGTGGTCTCTTCTGCGACGTTCTTAACTCGTGCCCCTGCGGAGGAGCCCGCAGGCTCCGCTACCATGCGCGGCAGACTCGTCTCCAGCGCGTGTGGGATAGAGCTCGGAATATGGCAGTGGAGTGCGATGCGACTGATCGAAATGAGCTGTTCCTCGCTCCATGAACCAACAATCTGCGAACGGAGTGTTAAGAAGGTGCTCTTCTTGCGTTGCATATACATATATATAAAGACACCGGCTAAGGACCAAGCTAGTAAACTTAGAAGGGAGCGCGCCACTGCGGGATGTTGCTTCGTATTCACACAAGCAGGCTTTAAGGTCATTCTGAGCACACAACAAATTTAAGAACTGTCAATCTCCTCTATGACTCTATGAGTATCATACTCAAACAAAACTGCCAAACATCTACAACAAACTGACCATAGACAAACAACGCGACGGAATTACCGTCCCAGCGCGCGTTGCTTCAAAATTGCTGCTCAGAGGTTGCCTGGCTCCGTAGTTTGCACTGATTGCACACAGACTTTTTGGTCGCTGTTTCATCAGCGAGAAATACTTTGGCGCTTAAGCCGTGAAAGCCTGTGGTCTGCGTTGAATTTCTGCTTGCTGCAGCACGTTGGAAAGAGAAACTTTGCTACGCTATTCCGCGCAGCGCAAAATCTTTGAGAGAAGTTGAACGCACAAATTCTCCGGTTCCTGGGTCAATCTCACAATATTTGTCACACTACCGATACAATCCAAAAGCATCTAAAAACATGGATCCAGATGAGCGTTGAAAACTGTCGCAGAAGATCTGCAACAATCAAAAAGTGGACTGGTCCTCTCGATTCACAGCAGACGCTGAAAGTCCATGGAGTTCAATCACTTTTTGGCCAGCCTCCTCGGCTCAAGGATCACTAACCAAAACTGTAAAGGGTTGGATAGACAAACGTATTGAATTCTACAAACCACAGAAGGCAAAGAACCGAGACATGTCTCCTTGAAGCCCTCTGCATTCAGCAGCCGAGCCAGTCTTTGCAAGGTATCCAAGATCGTCTTTCCCTGTCCGGAGGCATACCGCGGCCGCCAGCTTACAACAAGTGTAACATGGTTACCATGCCTCTAAGACTTAAGCTACCGTACTGCTGCGCTGCCAAGTGAGTTTCTTGCCTCTTCAGATCGGAAACCATCTTCAAGCACCTTCACTCTCGCCGTTTCAGCAACCAAGCTCTGAAAGATGTGTTTTTGGGTCTTGCGCAGCTCGTTGTGCACGACGTCACATGAAACACAACGACTGACTGATTTTGCAGCCAAGCCACTTGGACCTCATCTGGCGTAACCATCAAGAGGCTGCACTGGGAGCGGCATTGGCTATTTCATGCAGCTACACAGGGGCTTGGCACGTTCCTTTTAGGTCTGTTGCGCTTTGCCACAGCTCCGAGATCTCCAGGTTCCAAGGAAGGAGTGGACAAACTATCATGCGCGTACGTCGTCTCAATGCTCCCCGAGCGTTTGTCTCGCTTAGTAATCGTTGTTTTGACGTGGTAGCAATTTGAATTAGAATCCATTGTCAAAACCAATGGCAGTTTCGAAGAGAGAGTTCCAAGTTACGAAATGTAACCAATGGCGAGCGCATGGTCGCGCACCGCGGGCCGGCACAAAAAGAACAGTCAGGGGGCGACACAGTCATTGGACAAAGCAATGCATCTGTGCGCCTTGATGGGATTCATCAAAACTTGCGAGGCAACATGACATTCTTACCCCCAGCTTGCACACCTCAGAGACGCTTCGCACAGCTCCACTTTCTTTTCGACGCTTATGGTTGCGCTTCCAGCGCTGGCGGAGCATGCCACGGGCATTCTGATCTCCATGCGCTGAGCATCGATTCTCTTCATCCTTCTGTGGTGTGACGCGACAGCCACTCTGCGACAATGAAAATGCCCCGGCCATGGCCGATCTAAATCTAGTTCTTCGCACAAAAGCATCTCAGGCACCAGCCTCGAAGCCCACTTAATGAGAAGCCCAAGTCACCCACAGGCAGGGTCGCAGGCGGCACACGGAAAAGGCGCAACAGCCACCAGGGAAACCCCGCCACAGGCTTAGCCCATCTAGTTAATCTAGTTCACTTGCGCAAGCCGCGGAAAGCCTTCGGTCGCAGAAGCCGCCCAGTGGCAGCAGCCACCTGCGTCGCTGCTGATGCACTTGAGCTACGTGGTTTGCAACATTCGATGCCAAATCGCTGTGCATGCCACATCCTTTGGTATAGGCTACCCACTAAAGCAGGGCAAAACCTTCGGTATCCCAACCGCCGCCGGGCCTAGGCGTAAGCAAAACAGTATTCAATTCACAATCTGTCGCACAGACCTATAGTATCCTATAGTTTGTGCGCTTTTGAAACTTCCGCCCACCGGCTCTGCCAGAGATTGCCTGTGTACTGTACTGCACATTTTGAGTGAACTTGAGTCAGTGGTCTTATGACTCGTTGACCTTGGCTTACTTGGCAAGTACTTCATTGATCCAATGCTTGCGGAGCCAGAGGCAGAGGCAGTGTGAAATTCATGGTGATTCAAATTGGATGCTTGCTGAGGTCCTACCTTCAAGGGCTTCTGCTTGCTCCGCAATGACCTTCGGCCCCAACTCCCGCAGGCGGAGGAAGTTCTCCTCAAAGCAAGAAGACATTCGTGAACAGTAGCATAGGCATCTCACTTACACTTGATGATTTTTCAACATCCAACAAATCGTCTTGTGAACAAAGGCAACCAAGCCACGTAACGGATCCTCCAATCGTTGCTCGTAGCCAAGGCTTCCATCATGGATGCATCTGCCATATCTATCTGGCTTCCACTACAAGGACTGGGAGGGCACACCGATCCTAGATGATAGCTGCAAATGGCCAAGTGTCAAGCGCACGTCAGCTTTTGCAGCTTGTGAAGTGCATTCGGCATTCACAAAAAGAAAGACCAGCCACACCTGATGAGCAGCCGAAAGAACTGAGGAAACTTCCTCACGCTCTTGACCTCTGTCTCGGCCAACTCAACTCTGAGCCGCCGCAACCATGGCTCATTCGCTGCAAATTCTTGTCAACACGTGACTGCACATTGTCTACAGAACATTCGTGAACCATTTGGACTGAAAGCTTTGGCAAAGTGGACTTTGGGTTACAGCTTGCAGCAACCTCGATACTAAAAACACAACAGCCAGCTTGCGACGTCACAAATGCGCGTCACATAGAATGTGATTTGCCCGAAAAGACAAAAACTAAGGGCACCCTCATTGTTCTGCGCAAACGGTGTGGGCTCATATTTCTGGGCTGTCAATATTCTTCAGCACACTCCTGATGGATAGAACCAGGAAAAATCTGACACAAACCTTGCCCGTGCCCTGAGCTGGCCCTAAACAGCGCGCAAACCATGGACGAGAAAATTTGCTCACCGCTCTGCATTGCCACCTCGCACTTTTCTCGAGAGTATCATGGAGCAAGTCAAATGTCAATCTTGCGCCAATCATCTGGACATCTCTGGACACGTCTTTATACAAAGATCTCCGAAGACACTTTGCCAGGAAAGGGCTCAACTACAACCTGCTCACCATGAATGGTGAGATCCTTCGACAAAATCTCCCCTGCGCCGTTCTCAAATGTTAGCACATAGTCACCAGGAGCTCTAACCAGATCACCACCGGGAGTTGCCAGCAGAATGCTATTCCTGACGCTGGGCTGCTGGGGGTCAAATCCCAATCCATGCCTGCAGCCCTGCAACCTGCAAAAAGAACCGTGTGCCTCAAAGCAAGCCACCTTGGAATGATATGTTTCTCCTTGGTACCTTCCGACCTTCCCAACACCTGTGGCAGGCAAGCTGCTTCCGCCCCAGAGATCTAATTTTCCTCCAAGCAGGTTGCTTGCAACTAAGGGGACTGTTCGCGTTTGCGGCTCGATCGTTTTGGTCGACCTTCACGTAAAAGCTGTCCTCATGATTGTTGCATGGTCGTTTCTTGTGGCAGGTGCACTACTTTGATGGGCCGTGGTCGCACCTGTTTCGCAACTGCGCTATCGTTGTGGCGCCGTGCATGTCTGTGCCTCATGTTTGTAAGCTCTCACATGTGTGCGCTCATGTGCGTCGTGCTCTCATGTATGCTGCTCTCATATCTGTGCTCTCATATATAGTTGTGTGCTCTCATTTGCGCGTTTCTTTTCGGGAGAATGTGGTACCTACTGCTGATGGACAGCATCCCACCGTCAGGGTACAAGGTCAACCCAATCAATCATGGGATGTTCTCATCATACGGGTTAAAAGTATCATGGGATGCCTTGGTCCACGAAAAAATGCACAGCACCATGAAAGATTGATGAAATATGGAAAAACACTTTTGCTTTGCCAAGCTTCTCAGTGATTGTAAAGGAGATCGTTATCCGCGCTGCAGGCTGGAGATTCTTGACCCGTTGAAAATCAAAGAGGGACTTCGTCGGGTACATCGTTAGGCCCACCTCTGCAGACAGGCTGTGTCCTTTAGCACATGGCACCAACTAAATATGAAGTGCTGTGATCAGCGATATAATATGGCGATCATTCATGGTAAAATGCTTGTAGTAGGAAAGATCATAAGTCGTGGCCAACTGCTCGCATAAACAAAAAAAACATAACCCAACACATGGCCCATCTTGTAGAGCATGCTTGGGGATGGTTCAATGTTCGGGCAGCTTGGATCTCTGTGACCCCTCCAGCCCGGCAATTAGACCGCTGGAGGCTGGAGCATTGAAAAGGAACTAGGCACAACTGAAGTTGATAGGTACCACCTGCCAAGTAGACCAACATGTTTCAACCCCAAGGACTCCCAAGGACTGCGATATGTTCTGAACACCGGAGTACATTAAGTTGAGTTTAGCCTCTTTCACGAGATAAAATCTGTTGGGGGGGTGCCAGCTTTTGAACAGCAAACCACAGGGTAGCGCTTGCGCTTGAGGTGTTCCATGAGTCGCCAAACCTCGTTTAGGGAGCACAACAAGGGACGCCGGAACATGCAGAAGTACACAAAGCCACACAGACCACCTGGAGTCCCTTCAAAGTACAGGAGCCCCTCTGCAACAGCATTAGCCCCAAGCATATGTACAGAACTGGCATAGCGAAACCTTCTGCCCCGTTCACGATTGCTCCTTGAACCTCTGCTTTGAAAGCCCTCTCCACTGACTTCTTTGGGTGGCGAGGAAGTCCTTGCTTTTCATATTCCAGACGCAGGGCTTGGACCTCTCGGAGACCGTTCCTTTAATTGATTGAGCCCTTGCAACGTCGCGTCGCTCAAGGAGGTCGAAGTTGTCAAGCTAAACCCGATATTCCCACTCTGTCTCTTCTCATCTCAGTCTCTCCCCCCCATCTGGTTGCATCCTGGCCACCTTGAGTTACCCCTCCCACCCTTTGTTTAGGCATCACATCATCTCCCAACCTTCTTGGGGTGGAAGTAGGCCATGACCACTTCGTCACCTACCAGTGGCCCCAAGTTGCCTTAGCACATTTGAGCCATCCCGAGGCAGGCGCGCAATACAACTGTGGTGACCCTGACTTGACGGTATGCAATGGGCCAAGCAACCAACTAGCACGGGTTGGCTCACGGCACCCGTTCTAACTGGATTTGGGTCAAGTTGGATCGATTTGGACCTGATGGTGCAAATGCCATCATATTGGCCCTCGAAGCCTCTTTCCTTGGAACTCTCAACAAAACACGGTAACCTCAATCCGTGGGTGGTGGTGGTGGTGGTGGCGGTGGTGGTGCTGGTGCTGGTGCTGGTGCTGGGGGTGGTGCTGGTGGTTGCTGGTGGTGGTGCTGGTGGTGCTGGTGGTGCTGGTGGTGGTGCTGGTGCTGGTGGTGGTGCTGGTGCTGGTGGTGGTGCTGGTGCTGGTGGTGGTGCTGGTGCTGGTGGCGGTGCTGGTGCTGGTGGCGCTGGTGCTGCTGGTGCTGGTGCTGTTGCTGGTGCTGGTGCTGCTGCTGGTGCTGCTGCTGGTGCTGGTGCTGCTGCTGGTGCTGGTGCTGCTGCTGGTGCTGGTGCTGCTGCTGCTGCTGGTGCTGGTGCTGGTGCTGGTTGCTGGTGCTGGTGCTGGTGGTGGGGCAGGGCTGGTGCTGGTGCTGGTGCTGGTGGGGCTGGGGCTGGTGCTGGTGCTGGTGCTGGTGGCGGTGGCGGTGGCGGCGGCGGCGGTGCTGGTGCTGGTGCTGGTGCTGGTGCTGGTGGTGTTGCTGGTGCTGGTGGTGCTGGTGGTGCTGGTGCTGGCGCTGGTGGTGGTGCTGGTGGTGGTGCTGGTG